TCTTACTGTTGCCTTGGTTGAGGGGATTGTGTGAACAGTGACTGGAAGGGTGTCAGAAGAGGGGCTTCTAGAGAGCGGTCATGTGAAGTTGGTATTATTTATAGTTGCTTTTACTTTATAAAAATAAGCTGAGTTCTTTTTCTTTATATTACCGTTCACTATAATTACTTCATTTTCTATTTGTTGTACTGTAAGAATCTCTGAAGGCAACTCAAGTATACACAAGGAGAGCCCCCATAAAAATAATGTAACTGTGACCACTTCCCATTGAATGTAAAACCATACTACATTTGTAAATGCTGTGCAGTTTTTATGTACTCATCAGAACCCCTCAATAGCTGTGAGGTCAGGAGTGACTACATGTTTTGGTTGATACCTACTCTTCCAGGATAATTATTAGTAGCCTCTCTGTTCAATCTCAAGTATCCTGGTTTAGTGATAACTGTATTACTTTACAGATGAGGAAACCAGAGCCCCTCAGGCTAAATGATTTGCCTATTATTACTCAGTAATAGTAGTATGCCTAGGACTCAAAGCCAGAACTTGTGTGAATATTACTGAAACTGCCTGTGGTCCCAGAAACCGAAATGGACATCCGTGGAAGCCTTCCTCTCTGTCCTGTTCCCCACTGTGCAAACTCCAGCCCACTGCTCTGTGGAAAAGTGTAACCATGATTGCTAAAGGTTGCCTAAGACTCTTCCAAGTAGCACTGTCTTCCAGTCTCTGCCCAGTGTGTCTATGGTCTCCTATGTAGGTCTTTAGATGATCTTATCCCCTGGGTCTCAACCCTGCTTTCTGGACCCCTTGGCCTTCAAGAGCTTAACTTTCTGAGATGACTCACTGTCTGTGCCACTGCACTTTTACCATTCCCAGCCTAAATGTCTGTCCTCAACTATCTGCCACTGTACAACTTGTAGACTATCAGTAAGAGATTTTCCAGTTTCCATAGGAATATGAAAGGGACTTGGTTAACAGGAAGCTGTATCAGAGACACAATCCACTTCATAAAATATATATAAATAATTTGTAAAATGCATATGGAAAAGATAAAGGCAACAGCTGTAAACTGAAATGACAACTGCTGAGTGTGTTAATGTGATAGGATTAGGGGGATATTTCCTCCTATGTCTGTTATTTTAATTAAATTTTAATATTTAATAATACACTTCTATAGATTTTAAGCTCCAAGTTTAGAAATGTAATGTTTCTACTTTGTAGAACAAACATTACTTTAAAACCTCAGAGCTTTCTATAAATTATCTTAGTATATCTATGTCTATACTGTTGCCTGTCTTTTCACCTTCAACCAAGTCATTTCCTACAGCAACATGTAATTACTTAAATATGAGCTTCAGTAAAGAACAAGGTATCTGCATTAGCTTTTCCAAATTACCCTCAATAATATATAATTGAGAATTTATTCTTGTAATTGTCTCCAATGATGCCATTCTTTAAAAATCATAAAAGTGGTACAAATATTGGTTCCAAAAATCTTAATATTTTTAATGTACTTTTTTTCTTAAATAGATCCCAACAATGTCCAAGACATGTCAGTCTGGTTCAGTTTATTTGCAGACTTGGATCCACTTGCAAACCCAGATGCTATTGGACACTCAGATGATGAATTTCTTAATGTTTGAACAGTGGACTTGAGACATTAATTTTGCAGCATATAGCCTTTGTGGAAGGCAGTTTATATTGTACCCAGTACACAAAAGATAGTGTTTGCAAATATAACATATGCTAGCAAACTTTAGACAGGGTAAGGACCGCATTTGAATAGATTAAGTAACTCTGAAATACCTTGGATTTGCAAATGTTTATGAGATGTGGAAAATATTAGAATCTAATATTGAGTGTGAAATAAGTGCCAAAATTTATTGCAGAATAATGGCTATGAATAATTCTGTCAGTAAGAGTTGGGCTAATTTCTTTGGAAAGCCTTTTATATGTAAGTTGTAAGAATTCTGTATGTGGCTAAAGGACAGCATGTACACTCAATTGTAATTTAGGGTTGGTTTTTAAATAAAACAGTAGCTGGGGAGTTTTGTGTTATGGAAAATAGCACTAGAACCAGATCACTTTTGTCTTGAGTTGGAAAGGTTGAATAGGATTTGAGAACTAACTCAATTTGCTTTAATGAAATTACAGAGAAATTTGGTGCTTGCTTTCTCCACTTGGGGACTAAAATGTAATATTTAGTTTTTTTCCTTCATACAGACTCATGGGTACCCTTCAATTCCATTTTTTAATTTTCATGGGAAAATAGGATTTATTTGCTAATCCGTCTTCCATAGAAACTCATATACCACAAGAATGTTCCAATAATATTTTAGACATTGCATCTTCAGAGTTGGGTTTTACACATTGCTACCATAATGTAAAGTATTCATGTTCTTCCCCCCAAAAAAAGGAGGGGAGAACATTCCCTAAGCAACTGGAATAGTACTGTTGAAATTACCCGGAAGCTTCTGAATGAAGGAAAAATTCTAAACACCCTATCCTTACACATATTTGCATACTTACCCCGTATTTCTTCTTATGATTTAACCGAGAATGCTTTCTGGCAGAATTACAGGAAGGTGTATGTCTTACTTTTGTACTTTTCCATATTTTATTTAACTCTTCCTTTTTATTCAGTGAAATTCTCTAAAATGCAGTACTGTCATTGTTCTGCCAAGATTCAATCATCAAGGGTTATAATTGTGAATCACAATCTAAATTCTATACCCATGGTGACTCTGTGCTTAACTTTGAGTAACTCAAAAATTGCTACAACTTATGTCTTGAGTTCGTGCTATTTTTCTTTCACTAATGCATTACTTTAAAATATTTTAATATCTCCTTCAGATCCTGTTATCTCATATAAACAGACACCTCAGTGAGGAAGAAAACCACTAGTCTCTTCAAAACAGAAACCCAAATCCCAGACTAACCTCAATTTTCCCAAGAACAAAGATTCTCAGCAAACAGAAACATACAAGTGATTAGTACTATTACTTGGTTCTTAGTTTCTCTATCAACAGAGTATGTAGTTGCCCATTAAACTGAAAAGCAACATTAACTCCTTTAGCAAGTTCAGTTATAACTTCAACAGTCTAACAACTCTGTTTTTAAAGAGCACACTGAAAACTTCAAGATTAGTTGTATGAAGCTCAGCTATTTTTAGGTGCCAGAAACAGAAATCTGGCTGTATACACCCAGGTTACTAATATAGGAAACCAACCACATATTTAGTAGGGAGGGAAAGGAAGGACGGAATAGACTGATAAGAAAGGTGATCAGCTGTGATTTAAATCTCGATTGACCATTCAATATGAATTAATTAACCTTAACCAAGATTAGGCTGAGAACACCTCTTTCAAAATAAATGGACTTTTATGTTAAGTGGGTGAAAATATCTGTTTTCTACTTTCTAAAACCTAACTAGAATGCATTTCACCTTAGAAAAGCCCCATAAGAACTAAAATTTGCCTTATCTTTCTAAAACTACTTTACAAGAGAGGCAGGAATTCCAGGGCATATCAAGATCAGATTGGTGTAACTTTGTATCTTTTGAAATTTTCATTAATTGTAAAACACAGCCCTGATATGACTAGAAACAAACTGTATTTTAGCAAAATAATTTCCAGTATTTACACAATGAAAGAAGTGTTTGTATTTCAACTATGGATATTTATTTCATGCAACTATAGACCATTTGGAAATATAGATCTTATAGCATAAAAACAAAGGAAGTTTGAATGTGCTCTGCCTTTTTTTCTGAATCTCTTTTAATAATAAAACAAAAGTTTGTAACCTGAAGTATTCAATAGAAATCCAATGACTTTCTTTATTCAAAAACTTGGGTTTTATCTCAGGACCATAATGGTAAGAAGGTAGTTCGAACTGATGTAGTATGATCTACACACTACAGAATGAAAATAAAAACAGGGAAATAATTATCCTTGTGAGACTGATTCCAATTAACTTCATACAGAAGGGACTTTGTAAGATATGGGAAATAACAGAATGCATGTTTTTTGTGTAAAAACCCTCAGTAACAAAACCATCAAATACAAAAACTTGAGCCTAGAAGCCACAGCCAATGAAATATAAGCCATAATATCTAACCTGATTTGTTGAAGGCAGGACTAAAAAGAAGCAAGCTAGGAACCGATGCACTTATTTCTGTCCTCCATTGCACGGGCGGGCTCTCCATTTCCTTACCTTGAGCAATGAGTTAGCCCGGAGTCTTGGGATGTAGCAATTAAACTTGGAAGGAAATACAAACTTCAAAATATTAATTCAGCAGAATTGGAAGTAATGCATTTAAAAACACAACAGTAAGGTGTTTAAATATGGCAACAAAACCTATGGAACAAGATGGGGAAAAAAAAAAGTTTCTTGGTCAGGATGGGTTACATCCATAGCCCAACATAAAATATTTTTTCCCATCTTTTTCATGTCATCAGAGTCTTCTAATAAAGACTAAAGTTCAATAAAAACTGTCCCTGGCATTTATAGTCAAGACAACTTCTTTAATCACTAATGTAAGTAAACTGTTCAATGTCTGAAGAGTAAAATAAAAAGGAGATAAAGGTCTGGGTGGTATTACTAAGTAAAGATTTCAAAGTGCATATGTTCAAAAAAAACCAGTTGTTTCCTTCTTCCCATTTCAAAGTAACACCCTCTTCACATAAAAGTCTGGACAACACTTAAAAGAAGAACAAGAAATCATCTACAGCCTACCCTCCCAGAATAATATTATATACTCTGTTATTTTGTAGTGCCTTTGGGCTCACATATGACTAAACTGTGATCCAGGTGAAACCGTTTTATTGTCTTCTCCGTCTTAAATGGACATCCCAAGTTCCTCAGATTTTAAAAAAAGTTACTTTTGTGTTTCTCTCAAAAAGTCAGGTAAAAAAGAAAAATCCACCAAAAGTGTGATGGCAGGCACCTCTGCCTCTCTAAAAGATGTGCCTCCAAATTAAAATATTTCTCTTGAATTTTTGCAGCTATAGCAACTTTAAAACACACAGACCTTGAGGATTCCAGCCACTAACTTCCTTGGTCAGGAGCAGGTTGGTGCCTAACCAGCTCTTCGCCCTCAGAACCAAGCTGCCAGCTGGAGCAATGAGGAGGACCACACCAGAGAGCAAACAAGGCAGCGGCCCAGGAGCACATACTCTGCAATGACACTAGACATGTATATTTTATTAATGTCATGTGTAGGAGAAGTAGCAGTAAGGCTTTATGGTTAAGTTTGAGTTCGAGAGTCAGACATGGTTCAAAGCCACTCTGAAATTTCCCAGATATATGACTATGAATGTCACTTAATTCCAGTTTTGTCATATGTAAGATAGTACCTGGCTTCAAGAAGTTATTATGAAGATTAAGGTAAACAGTCACATATACAGTGTCTGACACTTGGTAAGCTGTCAGTAAGTATTACCTATTATTATTTCAGCTCAACACCCTTGATTATATTGTACTTTACAAGCTAAAATGAATTTTATGAGACCATTTTTCATGACCAAAAACTCTTGCATTTCCTAAGATGTAAACTTACCTAACAAAAATATGAAGATTATAGTGTTTGCTTCCAGTTTTATAAGCTAGGCTGTTTTCATATTCATTAGCCATTTAACTGACAGCACTATTATAAGCATTTCCTTCACCATATAAATAAAAAAATGGGGTTCAAAGAGTGACTTCTTTGCCTCAGATCCCATGACCACTAAGCTACAGAGCCAGATTTAGTACCCAAATTGTAGCCCTAAATACAGGGCTATTTCTGGATCTCTGAATCATCCTACTGATTTCAAAAATAACTGCTTCACACATGGAATTGAGATGAATGGTTATACTCCTGGTTTTTAACCATCAGAGTCTCTGTGATACTCTTCTATAAAACAATGATTTGGCAGGACTAATCCATGTTACTGTATAAAATCCAACAAAGAATTTATGGAGGTAAATTCTCAGTTTGAGGAAGATGCAGACTGCTGAAAACTCCTAACAAAATTAATTTTTTTACAAAACCAACAATTCTGAGATACTTATAAAAGGGAAATAAAAACAGTATCTTCAAGACTCCAGCATCATCTGTGTGTTGATACCAGACCAACCCAAAGACACTCCACAAAAGCTGTTATCTAGAACAGTATCTTTCAAATCATTTTTAAGAAATACATTTTACTTTACAACCTATGTATGTATCTCTGTCTATTTTACATATAATTTGTATACACACATAATACTCTCCTTATATCTGAACTTACTTAACATTTTTTATTCTGCTTCATTTGAAAAAAATGTTGGCTGGACCCATTTAATTCACTTCAAGACCCAAACAACTTTGAAAAACACTGAATCAAAAGGATACAAAGGTTATTTGTATTATCATACCATAAAATAAAGATATTTTAAAAGCACACCTCATCTTATCAAGGAAAAAAACCTGATACTGATATACACTGACAGGGAACTGATATTAAGAGCATACTTGCTATAAATATTTCACACCCCACACTCTAAAGCAATTGAAAGAAAGGGATCATTATTGTCCTAAATTTTTCTTTTTTTGGTCTATTTAATACTAATGAATCAAAATTAAAAAAATAACAACTAAGAAGAAACAGGGAACACCCAACTTGAAATCTAAATTTTATCTTCAACCTCTTTAAAAGTAGAGAGAAAAGACAGGAAAAAACAAAATTTGGTGTCAATTTGAGATTCATTTTGCATTTTTAATTAAATGTAAATATATATATATATACTAGTTATCCCTAAATTCTGCTTAACTTTCTTCCCCCAGAAATAATTTTTAGAATTTTTTACAAAGTAATTTGGTGACCACTTTTTAGGACTGACAGTTGTGGCAACTTTACTTAAAATGTGTCCTTGCTTTCTAAGTGTTTATACTGCAGTTTTCATTGGGGCATATTTGACTAGTTCTGTGTGTGCATAGAAACTAACCTTCTCAGCCTAAACAATTGTCTTGCATATATTATCCAATCATTATAACAAAGGAAGAATATGACTGGTTTAGGAAGAATGAACTATGAAGACAAAAGGGGGAAAAAAGAGTACATTCTGTGTATACTTAAGAATGAAATTAAGTGACTGCCCCAGTTAAACCTCTAAAACTGTGAAGTACTGAATTACTTAACAAACGTGTGTATCTTTCAGTGTGCTTGCTTATATATTAATATTTGCTTAGCACTTACCACAATGATCCAGTATGTTAAGTCCTACAATAAGTAAAGAGGTAGCAAGGAAATAACAAATGACATATTATATATTCTGCTTCTTAATACAAATGCATTATTCCATCAACTTGTGAAAAATAATATACTGTGTTATTTCAGGCTAGAAGTGTCTGAAAGAACATTTGAATTTGAGACAATATTCATAGAACACAGAAAAAAAACTCAAGAAGAACAGACTTTATTTTTTAACATAAAAGTTCTATTTTCTTGTTCTTGCAGCAACAAGTGTTCAGATACAGGGTATACATAAGTACATAGTAACAATACTTGTCACCACTGGAAATGCTGTTTTTTGGGGAAGAGTCTAGCTTTAGAAAAAAAATTTTTAAAAATTGCATTTTAAAAAGATTTACACTGCTTTAACAGAGATGAAAGATAGACTTTTAAAAAAACATAAATTACGTTCTTCAACAGGATTGTATAAACAAAGTATTGTTCAGAGCTGCTCTGCTTATCATTAATTTAGGCAGAGTAAAACTTAAACCTTAAAGTGCAGAGTTAAGTATTAGCTTTTTTAATGCAAATGCAGCACTTCTACTGATCCATTTTGAGCCATCAAAATTCCAAGCATTATGGAATGAATCTTAAGTTTAGAATAGTAAATAAAGTAAATTCAGTAGAGGCAATCTTTCTTTTATTTCCTTTAACAACCCCATCCTAATCTTGGACATATAGAAGGCTGCAAATTCTGCCATTTTCTTATATTTTCTTCCAGTAAAAGCCAACCAATAAAAAGAAAAGAGAAGGCTTTCTTGTTGCCAGTTATTCCACAGTTAGCAACAGCACCTTCTGAAGGGCTGATCTGGCTGATCTAAGGGCTACCTTAAACAAAATGAAGAATCTAGTTCAAAAATAATTTTGGCATCCATGTTCACCATATTAATCAAAGAGGCAAAATAAACCACAACTGCCCACAAAAGCCCTGACAAGTAATAGACTTAGTCATGATCACAAACAGTAAATTAATATTTTTTATCAGAAGAAAAAGTTGTTTAGGAGTAAAAAAGAACTTAAAACTGACAAAGGGAATAACCAGAGATAGCTCCACTTGCCAAAATATAAAGCTAGCTATTTCTTTTACTGCAATGGAAGTATATTTATTTAAAATCTTTCAAAGTTTAAATTGTAATCCCATTGAAGTTCTAATTTTTAAAACTTCTGTACAGTTTTCTACAGAATAACAAGATAATTATGGAACGTAATTTTAGAAAATATTATGTATTGAGCATAGATCCATAAAAAAACAAAGAACAACCACCTGTGAAATAAGGGTTAAGATAAAATAGCTGACCAGACTGACGGTTAATATTTTTTCAAAACCACAATAAAGCTTAGATGCTTAAATTTTAGCCCTTTGGCACTGGCAGTTAGAGTTGTTTGTACCTTGTGCCTTTCTTTTCTTTCACTCTATTTTTTTCCTTCAAATCTCAGGCTCTATTTCTCCCAAACCTAAGGGATATATTTGCCATACAGTTCATTTACCTGAAAATTCACATTCTCCTTACAACCAAACATTAAAAGGTCCACATATAAGAATATGTAAATAATAAACCTGTAACTTGTTTTCACATTCTGATTTTAAATTACCTTAGATTAAGGATATATGAAACTGCAGAAAGATGTGAACTAGACAAATCTGCACAACAGGGTAAAAAGGAAAGCTTTATGAAAGTGACATTCTAGTTGTAAAATACCCCTGTGACTTAGAGGGATGGAGACATAAGAAGTGTTAAGGCAAGGAAAAGAACAAAGATTTAACAGAATTCAAGTAATCTACAAACTGAGGATATTTTTTAACTTCCTCATTCTACCAATTCATACCAAATCACATGATTTCAGTTTTACCTTTTCTTCCACACTTTTGATAGAGCAGTTCTCAATGGTGAAATAGCACAGTAGAAAGGCATACCAAAGAAGGCCAAGAATCAAGGTTCTCAAAAAACCAACCAACCAGAAAATTTAGACCCTATTCTAAGCTTTTACTGATTTAGAAGCCACAATGTACTAATTTCAAGTAAATTAGTTTTGGATGGAAAGGGAACCAAAATTCATTGGTCCTATCAACTGAAACCTGAGAGACTTATTCAAATGTTTGAATTTGTCTAATTTGCCTAAATACATCTCCATTTTATACTTATCAGGGCACATTTTTAATTACTTGAATGTTTTAAAGATGCATGAGTATAAGAAATCCTTTCAGAAGATTTATTGCTACCACTAGGTTTTCTTTGATGATGTATGTCTGGACAAACTGACATATTAACCTTCTAACCTGTATCCCTTTTATAAGTATTTTTTTTTCTCCCTATCATATGTATAGGAACATTAAATTATTGCACCATAGGTAGTGTATAAAGATTTTAGAAGGATACTTCTTAATACTTTGTTGAAGCTTGTTTTTGAAAAGAGCTGCTCCTCAAGTTCACTACCACACACTCAGACATGAAATACTGTTGTCGTGTGATATTGGCAGTGATTGTATTAGGATGAACGTAAACCCAAAATTGTTTGGATTTTTCAAAGATTCCTGTTGTTTACTATGCTCCAAAGTTCTCCTTGCCTGTTTTCCCCACTGTGCAAAATCTGTAGGCAACATATCTCAGTACCAGCCACCATAAAGAAATATCAGTTGCAAGATTCTGTGACTACGGATCGCTATTCAATGGATTACACTCCTGGCAAGCTACTGACCCTGACCAAGTCCACAAGACAATAACATCACAAAAGCAAAGGAGGAAATCCATGCACAGTCATTTTAGGATCTCTTGGGCCTATGATACAGTGATGATGATTAAAGGTAGAATGACACCTGTGTTAAAGAAGGGGGGTCATGTGATAAGTATATCACAGAAAACCAAAAGGGCTCTTTACTCATAGCTAGCAATCAACACTGGGTAGTCTCCTTTTGGCTTACTGACTTTTAAACCAATTTCCAATTATGGGTGAGAACATATTAATACACCTGTTTCCAAACTGTAATTTTTCTGACCACATGGTGAATGTGTACAGGAGTAGTGAAGAAACAGCAGTTTTACAAATATTTCACCCAGAGCACAAACTTCTGACATCAAAAAACATAAATCACACAATGTACTGATATTGCTTTTTGTCTCTTTTTATATATTTGCTCAATGCATTTACCTACCAATTCTTGTTTGGGAGAGGAATATAGTCATGAGATTTAGACTGCTGGGAAATGTCAATAATCCCTTTGGTCCCAAAGCTGGAAACAGCTGAGAAAAGCACACATCTAGAAAGGGAAACAAGAAACAGAGGCCACCAAACAATCTTATGAACTTCCTGTTTGCCATGTGTCAGAAAATGTAACATTGGTATTATAAAATAGTCATTTTCATATAAAAGATGGTTCTTGCAGCATCATTCACATCTCCCGTAGGAATCATGTTTGCAGGAATTCGTTTTTGTTTTTAAATAAGTTTAATTTGAGAGCAAAAAACAATGTGATATCGGCCCTCCAAAAGTGAAGAATGAGACCTTTCTTGTTTCAACCAGAGCTTGAAGAAAAAGCAGGCTAAGCACTGCAGGATGGCCCTGGCAAGTGAGCAGAGCCCACCGGGCGGCTTTCTTCCAGGAGCCCGGCTGACGGGTCGCTGCGGGAAGCTGGAGTGTGGCGCGGCTGGCAGGGAGCACACTAGGCCATCATCATCAAGTGACGTGAGGAGGTTCTCAAGTTCCCCAAAACAATGGCCTTGCAGCCCTGGGACCTAACCTTCCGCTTCTTCAATTGGTTCTGGTGGTGGGAGTAGAGATGCCGATGGCATGACTGTACTGGTTCCTCGGGAGACTCGGTCTTGCTCTGTGTTTGTAGACAGGGAGGCGACAGCGATGGGCTGCAGCAGAGTGGTCGCCATGCCCGTGGTGACTGTCAGGCTGTGGGCAGAGCCCTTGAGGGTAAGATCTGGTGTGGGAAGGAGCGGCTTAAGGATGCTGACAAGGCAGAAAGCAGAGCCGCTTTTAGGAATGAAATTCACCTTATTTTTGTCAGGACAGTAAAAGGTTGGGATTTCATGAAGTTGTTTTGGCCTAGACATAGAACAGACAACCAGTATTTGTTAAGGCACAGAACACTGGAAGAAAATTCTATTTTTTTTTTAAACAGATAACTTATAATACACGAATACAAAGCTCATGCTATGCCAAAAGATCTCAATGCTATGGATCAAAGTAGAGTTAGACACGTGATTCCAAATGCATATGCTAGAAAGCCAGAGGGACACCATTCCCTGCTGTGGCCTTTGGTTCCCCAGAAAGTCCTGCGCACCACACAGGTGGCTCCGAGGCTGACGGCCACTCACCTCAATGAAGATCTTAGACAGTGTGAATAAATAATTTCCTGAAGCATCTGTATGTTTAATGACAGAATATGTTCCACTATGTTTTTCCAAAGCCTACACTATTTTGAAGGGTGAAGACAAAGGATTAATGACAAAAAAATTGTCCATCTTTTGCTTAAGTTCCATCATTGCATGGTTAAACTTTCATAGGTGTGAATTTTCTCTTTAAGTACACTTAAAAATCTCTTTGACTGAAATAGTTTTGTTAATCATGATTGTTTTCAGAGTTAACATAAAGGAAATATGAAATCAAAAGAAAACTAATGGTAGTTCTTTGCTCTGAAAAATTTTATTTCAGTGAAATCCTTTCTTGTCCCCAGGTACTCCTGAAAATTAACCCAAATAGTTGGAAAAGGATACTAATGCTAACAGTAATCTATGAAAATAAAAATACTGAAGACTAAATTGTTAAAGTAACATGGCAGTTCTTTTTAAGCCAAAACTTAAAAAGAAATTAGGTGGGAGAAACTAGGTAGAAAAAGGTAGTTTGATCAGAAGATAAATACTGGGGACCCAATGATGATATAATCTACAAGGAGAGAGACCAAATATATAGTTCTTAGTGAGAAGACGGTACAGAGGACGACAGAAATTAGTCTCCAAAATCTTATCTGTTTTATGCATTTCAAAACATCACTCAGTGAAGTTATCGATCACATCAGAGCATCCCT